TAAAGCTGCAGCTATTGGCTGCGTTTCTCCCAGCAGTCTAACACTTGTCTGTACAAGGCAACCTAGACAGTTGCCTACAGCTGAGGGCCTGTGGTTGTGCTTCTTTTATACATTATAAAGCAGCTGTACTTTTGGGTCATATTAGAAAAGTGTTCATTTTATACTTTAGGAAGATATAAAAAAATGTGTGTGACTCTAGTAGGTGTGGTTACATTTTGTGTGCTTTGTTGAGTTGCTACAATATATACACAATGACATATTTCTAGTTTCTTATTAGAAATTCATTTTGGTTCACATTTATAATTGCTTGGCCGGGGACAGTAGCTCAACTAATTAATCCTCCCCCTGAAGCACCAGGATCCTATATAGGTACCAGTTCAAGTCCTGGCTGCTCCACTTCCCATTCAGCTCTCTGCTTGGCCTGGGAAAGCAGTGGAGGATGGCCCAAAGCCTTGGGATCCTGCACCTGTGTGGGAGACCCAGAAGAAGCTCTTGGCTTCTGGCTTCAGATCAGCTCAGCTCCAGCCATTGCAGCCACTTGGGGAGAGAACCAGCAGTTGAAATATCTTTGTTTCCTCTTCTCTCTGTAAATCTGACTTTCCAATAAAAATCAGTAAGTTTTTTTTTAAAATAAAATTATAATTGCTATGGGTGATTAAGTCACTGGGAGGTTTGGTGTGGTGGTAGCACCAGTGAGGCCCCCACCTGTGACTCCAGTATCCCATGTCAGAGCTTTAGTTTCTGATCCAAATTCTGGTGCTCACTTTGGCAGCACATACACTGATCCGAATTCCAACCTGTGTGCCTGGGAAGCAGTGGGCGATGCCTAAGTACATGAGCTGCCATGGTGTGGGAGATCAGGAAGGAGTGCCTGGTATCTCCCAGCCCCAGCAATAGCAGTCATCTGGAGAGTGAACCATCACATGGGAAATCTCTCTCTCTGCCTTTTCAAATCATAAAAGCTGACAACAGAAATGCTAGTAAGATAAAGCTGTATGTGTCAGCTATTGTGATATGTCTTCTCTCTCTCTTTTTTTTTTTAAGATTTATTTATTTTTATTGGAAAGGCAGATATACAGAGAGGAGAAGGGACAGAGAGGAAGATCTTCTGTCCAATGGTTCATGCCCTAAGCTGCTGAAACGGTCGGAGTTTAGCCAATCTAAAGCCAGGAGACAGGAGCTTCTTCTTGGGTCCTCTACGTTGGTGCCGGGTCCCAAGGCTGTGGGCCGTCCTCAACTGCTTTCCCAGGCCACAAGCAGGGAGCTGGACGGGAAGCGGGACTACTGGGATTAGAACCGGTGCCGGTATGGGATCCTGCTGCATTGACTGTGAGGACCTTAGCCGCTACGCTGTCATCCCATGCCCTATTTTTTCATTTTTTAAAGATTTATTTATTTTTATTGAAAAGGCAGATTTACAGAGAAGTGACAGAAACAAAGATCTCCTGTCTTCTGGTTCACTCCCCAAGTGATCACAAGAGCCAGAGCTGAGCCAATCTGAAGCCAGGAGCCAGGAGCCAGGAGCCAGGAGCTTCTTCCAAGTCTCCCACACAGGTACAGGGTCCCCAACTGCTTTCCCAGGCCAAGCAGAGAGCTGGATGGGAAGTGAAGCAATCGGGACACAAACTGGTGCCTATATGGGATTCTGGTGCATGTGAGGTGAGGACTTTAGCCACTAGGCGACTGCTAGGCCCTGTGTTGTTTTCAACCAGACAGTACTTTGTCTTACAGTGAAGCATCTGGTGGTTCTATAAAGTTCAACACAAATAAACATGGAAAGATGCAAAATATTTATAATTTTTTTGGCCTTACTGTGTACAAACGATCAGTATGGAAAAAAAAGCTAGGAAATTTGTTAAACTTTAGAAAAGATTTTCAGGTCCTCTCAAGTGATGCCCCGCCTTGGTGAACAGTGTTTGTTTGTTTTCATCTAGGGGCAGTTAGGAGGCTTAGTGCAGTTGCTCAACTGGCTAGTCCTTCCCTTCCAGATGCCGGGATCCCATACGGGCACTGGTTCATGTTCTGGCTGCTCCACTTCCCATCCAGTTCCCTGCTATGGCCTGGGAAACCATTGGAGGATGGCCTGAAGCCTTGGGACCCTGCACCCACACACATGGGAGACCTGGTGGAAGTGGAGGGTTAACCAATTAAGCCATCATTCTGGGCCCCTTGGTTTTATTTTGTTTCTAATTTTTTTTTTTTAAATTGCAAAGTCACATATATAAAGAGTAGGAGAGACAGAGAGGAATATCTTCTGTCTGATGATTCACTCCCCAAGTGACCACAACGGCTGGTGCAGTGCCAGTCTGGAGCCAGGAGCCCAGAACTTGTTCTGGGTCTCCCATGTGGGTGCAGGGTCCCAAGGCTTTGGGCCGTCCTCCACTGCTTTCCCAGGCCACAAACAGGGAGCTGGATGGGAAGTGGAGCAGCAGGGATTAGAACGGGCGCCCACATGGGATCCCGGCGCATTCAAGGTGAGGGCTTATCCTCAAGGCCACCACGCCAGGCCTTCTAAATGGTTTTTAAGTTATTTTTTGATAGAGTAGGGAGGAGAGAGAGCAAGATATAGTAAATCTATCCATTGATTTATTCCTCGAATACCCGTGGTGGCCGTGGTGGCCCAGATTGAAGCCAGAAGGCATAAGCTCAGTCCACACCCCCATAGGGACCCAAGGACCTGAGCCTTTACCACTGTCCTATGAGTGCCCATGGGCAGAAAGCTGGGATTGGGAGGGAACTGGGCTGTGGGCACCCCGCTTGTCATCTTTACTTCAGTGTTGCAATACCACACACCGTGTTGCTTTTTTTCTTTTTTTATTATACATAGTCCTGAGGTGCAGTGTGACAATTCACTGCTTGCGTATAATGTGTAACGATCAGATCAATATGATTATCATTTATCGTGCTAGAGAATTTTGTATTGTCCTAGCACTTTTTGGTAAAACTGACTCATTTGAAGTTGCAGTGCTGCTGCAGGGCCTAGAGAGCAAGCATGTGTTCCTGTCACCTAGCTGCTACATGTCAGTGGGACTGTCAGCTTCCCTCTGTGGCTTCTCCTAGAATTCTTTGTTCTTACTGCAGCTTTGGTGCCGTTTTAAAATTGTCTTTGGCTTCATTTCATTTGAAATGCAGAAACAAACACACACACGCAGATTTTCCATCTGTTTGTTCATTCCCTACGTTCCTGCAACACCTGGGGCTAGGCCAGAGCAAAGCTGGGTTCTTGGCGTCCCACGTGGGCGGCTTCCTGCTGGGTGGCCTCCCATGTGGGTGTCTTTGAACCTCTACAGCTCTAGCACACTAGAGGGAAGCTGGAGTCAGGAGCAGAGACAGAACTCTGGAGCAGCACTTGGATGGGGGATGCTGGCACTGCCAGGGTGGCCCCCCCGTGAGCCTCTTGCAGGGGCCCGCTGGCCATCTGAGGGTCTCTGGTCCAACACCTGTTGTCCTGTCTGTATTCTAATTGCCATGCTTGCTTCATAGTGTTGTTTTGAGAGGCCTTCATGTGATCTAAGTGATAGGCCTTGTTGAGATGTGTGGGTGACAAATGTCTCCCCCCCCGCAAGTCTGTAACTTTTCTAGGCCACTTTCTGTCCAGGATCTCATAGAGGAACGTTTTTTAATTCTTGTGACATCATTTGTCCCTGTTTCCTTTTGTGGATAATGCTTTGGGTCAGGGCCAGAAACTGTCTAGTCCTAGGTTCCAAAGAGTTTCTCCTTGGGTTTTGTTTAGGTGTTTGATTATGTATGTCTTATATTCAGGACTGGGCCATGATAACCAAGATGTGGGAGGTGGGAGGCGGAGGTCAGTTTGTGTGCATGTGTCGGGGGAGGGCCCATGGATGTCCACTTGCACAACAAAGCATGCTGGGAATACCTGCGTCTACTTCTGGATTCTCTGCTTGGTCCCAGTGTTATCCTTGTCACGTCCTTTTTTTAAAGGGTCCTGCATCTGGGGCCACAACGCTCTGCCACTGTCTGACCCTGACAGCACTGGCCATGGTCCCTCCTCTCCTTGGTTGCAGAGTGGAGGCAAGAATCCTGGGATGTGGCCCTGCCTCCTCCAGAGAAGGCATCTCATGCTGCTGAGAGTCTGTATTATTCTGGGGTGTCCTCTGATCCCCTGGGCCCTCCTCTCGGGGCTGGCAGCAGGGAGGAGGCAATGTAGGGGCTGAGTGGCTGGGATGGCGTTTCTTTAGGCCTTGTTTGGAACTTGCTTGGAGCTGGCTCCACCTGAAATTGACTCGGGGAGCTTGGGGGGCTGTGGTCAGGGTTGCCTTGCCTGTGCCTGTAGGCGGCTGGCGCTGGGCTCCCCCTGGAGTGCAGCAGGAGCAGCTGTGGTTGGGGCAGCTGCTGCCCACTTGGCTGTGGTCCCAGTGGTCCCCTGGGCTGTGAGTGGCCCTCCCTGCACCCACAGAGTGACTTCACACAGGGCTTCGCCGGCCTGGTGTGCTGTCCATCACTCGGCTAGTGTCCAGCCCCTCTGGGCCGCAGGTCCTGCTGTCAGTGTCCCTGTCACTGGTACCTAGCAGGGACCCTGGCTATCTGGCGTGGAGGCACGCTAGACAGGGCAGAGGCCTGCCCTGCTGCTGGCCCTGCCTGTTCACTTCTACCCTGTTGGCTGGTATGCCCCTCCTACCACCCCAGAAGCCTCCCTGTGCTTTCCAGGACCTCCCCACCCCCACTTCCCCAGAGAACTGAAGCAGCTCACAGGGGTGGGCTCTGGGCCTCCAGGTGTGTGGCCTTGACCTGTCCCAGGGCCCTCTCCTGTAGGGGTTCCTGTGGTTCCCCTCCTCTGCCTCCTCCCTCCTGAGCGCCCTAAGGTGGTGACCATGCCCTTCCCCCTGGTAGTCTGGAGGATTCCGCATAGCCCTCTCTGGGGGCCTCTGCTCCTGAGGCCGGGGACCCCTGGCTGGAGAGGAAGGCTCCTTCTGAAAAGCCGGGGCCAGGGCTGCCATTCTACCTTCACCCCACCAGCCACAGACACGCAGAGCCGGAAGCAGTGCTCAGCTTCTATTGGAGACCCTCCTCTTCAGAGTACAGTGCTGTGAACCCACTCTCTGGGGGGTGTGCGCCGTGCTCTGGGGCCCCCAGGGTGTGAGGAGGGGAACTTGGTGAGGGAAGCACGTGACACGGGGTCTGGTGCAGGGACGCCCTGACCACTGCCCCGGCTCTCAGGAAAGCTTTTTTTCTCAGGGCCTCCTGGTCCATTTCCCCAGAGGACGGTCCTTCCCTGTAGGGGCTCAACCTCCCCAGCAACCCCAGATCTCTGGGGTTTGGAAGAGGTGTCCACCTCAGCTTGGTCAGCCTGTGCTCTTGCCCAGCACTGTGCTTTCCCTGGCCCGAGCAGTCCATGGGAGCTGGGACCTCAGCAGGGAGGGTGTCCCAGCCAGTCCCGGAGGTTGGGGGTGGAGCTGGTGCAGCCGTGTGCAGAGCTGTGGGGGGAGGGGAGGCCGGAGGGCTTAGTCGTCTTTGTCCTTGGCACCGTGCTTGAGGATGCGGGTGAACTCGACGTAGTTGAAGTTGCCCTTCTTGTCGATGGGCGCCTCGCGGTACATCTCATCCACCTCCTCGTCTGTAAAGCGGTCGCCCATGGTAGTGAGCAGCTCTCGCAGGTGGTCCTCATGGATGAAACCTGTGGCAGGCCCTGCCTCCATCAGGGCATGGTCCTGGGCTGGGAGCGCCCAGTGTCCCCTGCCCCTCTGTGCCCTGGCAGGGGCTGTGAAGGCAGCTGGGGTCAGTGGTCACCAGGGCCCTAAGAGCTTTCTCTAATGCCATGGTCACTCTGTGTTTCCCCTGGGAAGACTAGCTGGGGGACCGGGGGTCTTCATGAAGACCTGTGGGGGGGGGATGGATTCTGCAGGTGATGGCAAGACTGGCGAGATCACAATCGGGGAATTCCAGTGGACATGGGGGGCTCGGGCCTGGCGTTGGGGGGGCGAGAACAAGCCACTTGGTTTTTGCTGTTCTGGCAATAGAAAGCGGGGCAGGGCCGACGTCTGCTCTGGCCTTGGGGGCTGCACTAAAGTCGGGGACCCACCCTGCCCACCCCACAGCACCCCACCCTGCGCTCACACATGCACACACAGAAACACAAACACAGCGCCTGGCTGTGCCGCTCTGACCAGAGGCCTCCTCGTCGAAGCAGGCGAAGGCGTTGCGGATGACGTCCTCGGGATCTGTGCCGTTCAGCTTCTCCCCGAACATGGTGAGGAACATGGTGAAGTTGATGGGCCCCGGTGCCTCACTCATCATGCCCTCCAGGTACTCGTCCGTGGGGTTCTTCCCTGGGGCAGGTGTGCCGTTCGTGCTGCTGTCCCACCTCCTGCCCCCTCCCTCGGTGCCCCAGACAGGGACGGGTGGCGTGCTTTGGAGGGACTCCAGAAGTCCACCTTCCTGCCAGCCTTCCTGTGAGGTTCGCACCCCGCGCCCCAGCCAAGGTACAGAGGTGAGAGACTCACCAAGTAAAGAGTGGGGCCAGCACCCACCCCAGGCAACCTGGCTTCAAGGGTGGGACACTTGTCACAGACCCAAGTTTGAATTCCCCCTCCATGCTGCAGCATTCCCTGTCTCGTGAACAATTGTGAAAGCAAATACTAGGTGGGCTACACACTCATCGTGATGAGCGGTGGCCCTGGGCCTCTGGAATCTGCTTCCAGGTTCCCAGCACACTCTTCAGTAGCCGTGTGCCCTCGGAAGAACTCCTTCACCTCTCTGGGCACGAGGGCCACTGGCTTGCGGTTACTCTGCTGTTCTCATCTTTTGTTTTTAACTGGGAGGCCATGGCTGGTCTGTGGACCCGAGTTGAGTTATAGACTCTTCATGCGTTGTCCTGGGTTCATTGTCCCAGGGGCAGGGCGCGGCCTCTGTCCTGGTCTCCTTGCAATGCCAAGGAGGGGTTGTGACATCCAGACCCCAGAGGGGCACCTAGGGCCAACGCCTCCAGTGATCCTAGGACAGTCCAGGTCATAGCCATGGAGTTCACTTCCTCGGCCGTGAGGGAGAGGCTGGGCTCCAAGGGAGGGGATGGTGTGCTGTGGCTGTCCCCCACGAGGGTCCTGGTCCCCAGGAGGGGCAGTGCCAGGGCTGACCCAGGATGCTCTGGTCCTGTGACATGATGGACATGAGGACTCCCCCTATAGCGAGTGCTTTGTTTGAAGCTGGGGCTCCAAGCGGCTGACTGTGGCCTACACCAGCAAGGAGCACTGTGGGCAGGACCTTGCCTCTGGGCCGCAGGTTCCCACTGAACACGAGTCAGCGGGCTGGATTCCTGAGCCCTTTCAGCTTGAAGCTGCTGCTTCTGGGCAGTCACTGTAGTCAGAGGCTGAGCGAACCTGGGGGTGACTGGCCCCCTAGGATGAGGCTTCCCCAAACTTTCCCTTGGTTGCACAGTTCTTTCTCTTCATAAAATGCTACCAGGCAGCTGGGTGTACACGTGTCCCCAGGCCAATCCCACTCTGGGTCGGCCTACACAGGCTCATGGCCAGCATGGGACCTCAGTTTTCCTGTCTGTCAAGTGGACACAGCCAACCACAGCTGCCCTCTTAGGTGGTTCCCATGTGTTCCCCATACGGCCAGTGCTCTCTAGGTGGTGGGTAGTCTCCAGCCTGTCCAGGCCTGGCTCTGCTTACCCAGCGAGGCCAGCATGTCATGCAGGTCCTCCTTGTCGATGAAGCCGTCGCGGTTCTGGTCGATCATGTTGAAGGCCTCCTTAAACTCCTGGATCTGGGACTGGTCAAACATGGCAAAGACATTGGACGTGGCTCGCTGTGGCCGCTTCTTGGTGGTCTTGGCCTTGGCCCGCTTGCTGGACATCTTGGCTTTAGGTGGGTGGGGCTTCCCTGCAAGAAAAGGGTCAGGGAGGGACGTGTGGCTGTGGGACAGGGCACCTGCCTGCCTCCCCTGAGTACCGTTCAGCTCTTGAGCCTGGCACATGAGGCCTTCCCCAGCTCCTGGGCTCCTGCCACATGACCTTCACAGCAGCAGAGGGGCAGGGCCCAGTGGGCTCCTGAACAGCCTCCCATCCCTGAGCCCAGGCGTCCAGCTCTGGCAGTGTAGATGTGAGGAGCACCCCGTGGCAGGGATTCCCGGGCGCAGTGCCAAGGGAAGCTTAAGCTATTTTGGCTGTGACTTGGTGAAATACTCTGGTTTGGGCTTGATGCCAACCATGAACAGGCTTTATCTGGTTTAATCCCAGGAGTGCCTGCACTATGCATGGCTGTCCAGTGACCAGGTGGGCTTGTCCATGGGAGGCAGCCGCCCTGCGTTCCTCACATTCCTGGTCTTCCCGCAAAGCCTCCATCCCTCTAGCCTGCTGTGGCCCTGAGTGGCCAGGGCAGTGGTGGGGGCAGGCTGATCATAGATTCTGCTCCTCACTCCCTCCCAGCTCCAGTACTGTGCAAGGTTCCTTAACTGCCCTGTGTAAACCTGGCCCCTGTCTTGCCCCATCAGGCCCAGACATGCACCTGTTATTTTGACACTCTTGCCCTCCTTCAGAGCAAGTCTGGGCTTCCTCAGCTTGTCACTCAAGGCTCTGTGAGCCTCCTGGGCCTCTGACTGACCATGACAGCCTGGACCTCTTGTCACATGTGGTCCTGCCACCCTGACCTCTGGCAGCTGCCCAGCCAGTCTCAGACTTTCCCACTGGGTCCCTTCTCCAGCCCAGCTCAATGGCTCCCATGGCCACCCTCTGGTTGAGCTCCCATGGTCTCTGCCTCACCCTGGGGGTGCCCATACTCCCCCGCAAGAGTCGCACTAATCGCAGCCCGCAGAGCGGTTCCTGCTGCTTCCGTTGTGCAATGGGGAAGCCAAGGCCAGGTGAGGGACCTGGGCAGTCTCTGGGACCACTAATCCTCTTTCCTTTGACCCTGAGCCCCTTGGTCCAGGCCCCCAAGAGGCTCTGCGTGGTCGCCTGTTTCTTGCCTCGGATTGTGGCCGTGAGCCATCTCCAAGCCTTTGTCCTCTGACTTGGTTACGGTCATCCTCCGTCTGAGATGTAAACCCCAGCACTGGGATCCCAGCCAGCTGCTGCAGGTCCCCAGGGCCACCCCACTGTGCGGAAGGAAGAACAGGCCCAAGGAGGGGAGAGGGAGGAGAGAGGGCCGTGCTCTGAGGTCTCAGGGTAAACGGGTGGCCTGTTTGGCACCAAGGAAGAAGCACAGCCTACCTGAAGGCTGGCAGGGGGCCTGAGGCAACCAAGGGCCTGGGTGTAGCCAGGCTTGCTTGAGAGAAGGGGGTTCAGGGACAACCAGACTATTAGCCCTGGAGCTCCCATCTATCTGTCCCTCCAGGTGTCAGACACAGCCTGGGCCGGGCCTGTGACAGGATGGCACCTCTCTCCTACAGATGTCTAAACTGCCCCCAGCCATGCCTGGCCCCAGTGAGCACTCCCTGGCCAGGCAGTGCCAGCAGCAGCTTCCAGTTTTGAGGCCGAGTTAGCAGCTGTTTGCCGGAAGAGCTGGAGTAGTAGAGAACAGGGAAACAGAAGCCCTGGCCAGCCCCCTGGCTGACCACCTCTGCCTACAGGCACCGCTGGGCACAGAGAGTGGTGCCTGGCACACTGTGAGTGCTAGTGGAGAGGGTCCCAAGTTTAACCTTGGTCTCCTGTGCTGGGGTGTGAGGGGAGGTGATGGGGCAGGGATCTGGATGCTGGGGAGGGATGGGGGAGGAACAGCCTGGCTCACATTGTTTCCTCATCCAGGCTCACATTGTTTCCTCATCCAGGCTACCCTCTGGCACTCTTGCCCCCCCCCCCCCCCCCGTGCCCTAGAGCCCAGCACTCTGCCCTCCACCCCTCTAAGGATGCACACGGGTCTCATAACCCAGAACAGCTTCACAGAAGGCTGCCCGACCAAAGGGTGGGAAACCTTTATCGCCACCCACACCCAGTCCCCAGCCCCTCCATCTCCAGCTGAGGCCATCAGGCCACCTGCTGCGGAGACCTTGGCCCGGCGCTATGTGGGCTCCCACCTGGTGCAGAGAAGGTGTTGGCTGGGTACGCGGAGCCGAGCGCGGGGCAGCTGGGCGGGCGCGGGTCGGGGTCCGGGTCTGACTGCGCGCGGGGGCGGGGCTGGGGGCGGGGCCGGGGGCGGGGCCGGGCGCCCCGGCCTTACAAGGCAGAAAAATGTGCGCGGCGGGGGCGGGGCCGCGGCAGCCCGCCCGGCCTTATTTGGCCTGGACCCACGGGCTGCACTGGCGGGGGCGTTCCTGGGCGACCCTACATTCCCTGCCAGCCCCGGCCTCAGGCTTCCAGGAGGCCTGCAGGGGCTGTACTAGGGCAGAGGAGGCCGAGGGTCCTGGCCGGCAGGGAAGAGGCTGGCTCAGGTGGTACCTTGCTCTGTGGTGGGGCAGACGGAGCGTGCCCACGGACCCCATCTTGTCCTGGGACGCCAAGCGCCGACCTGGGAAAGCGGCTGCCTTCCCTTGTGGGGCAGGTTCATGCCCTCCTGCTGGTCCTGGAGGGGTCAGGGTACATACCCTCGCGGTGGCGTGCGGGGATGCCTTTACCCAGCAGCTCCAGGCATGGGCCCCTCCTGAGGGGTGGAGGAGGAGAGGAGCCCCTGGAGCAGGGGGGCTGTGGGGCGACTCCTCACGAGGATCCCTTTCGGGCCTCTCAGCGCGCGCCACGGAGATGGACAGTCCCTGGGCCACAGACGCCTTTGGAATTGGGATGGGCGGGGGCAACTGCGAGAGACTCTGTTTTGGTTGGATAAAATTGGTTTTTAATTTGAAATGAAAGATTTACAACAGAGTTCCAGAAGTCATGCAGCAGCGGTATCCCCTCACCTGGCCTTGTTCTCCCCCTTCCGTGCGCACGTCTTGTCCCGCCTTCTCCTAAACATCACAGTGAATTGTCTCCTAAAAAGGAGATTCCCTAGGTGTCTGCCTGCCGGTGGCCAGCCCAGACTGGTCCCGTGCTGCCCGAGTTATGGAACATCCTGCGCTTCAGGCTGTGCCTGCTATCCCACTCTTGTCCTTTTAGAAGTGCTGCTCCTTCAGGACCCAGCCCCAGCTCACGGGCTGTCCCCTTGTGTGTCTGCCTGATTGTGTGCGGGGGAGAGTGCGGGGCAAAATGGGCTGCCTGGTGTGTCGGAGTGTGCAGTCACCACTGGGTTGTGCCACCATCCCTCTCCAGGACCATCTCATGGTCCCTGACTGAAAGTGTGCCCCATCTTCCCGGCCATCACCATTCTGTGTTAATTTGAAATGAAAGATTTACAACAGAGTTCCAGAAGTCATGCAGCAGCGGTATCCCCTCACCTGGCCTTGTTCTCCCCCTTCCGTGCGCACGTCTTGTCCCGCCTGTGTGTTCATTCTGTGTTCATATCCACTCTCTGGATTTGTTCCTCTAGGGGCCTTGTGGGAGAGGGCTTCAGAACAGTCCATGGGAGAGGCATATTAAGAAAATGGGACTAGTGTTAGCGCAGGTTAAGCCAAGTCCCGGCTGCTCCATTTCCAGTCCAGCTACCTGCTGAGGCACCTTGGGAAAGCAGCAGCAGGTGGCCCAAGTGCCTGGGTCCCTGCACCCACCAGGGAGAGCACCCTGATGGATGTTCTGGGTTTCAGCCTGGTCCAGTCATTGGGAGAGTGAACCAGTATGTGGAACATCTCTTTCCCTGTTTCGCTGCAGTTTGCCTTCAAAAGAAAGAAATCTTTAAAAAAGTGTGTGTGGAGGGCTAGAAAAGTAACACTGAGTTTTTTTTGGGCACCAAAATAAGCTCATCCTTTGGAATCTCCTTGTACAACAGGAACCATGCAATGTTTGTCCCTTTGTGGCTGGCTGATCCCAAAGCACATTATGTCCCTAGGGTTACCAAGGCTGAGGGCCGTTCACCACGCATCCACATTCGTGCTGTGGAGTCCCTGCTGCTTCGTTGCGGCATAGACATGGAGGCTCCTTCCACTTGGCAGCTGTTTTGAATAACAGTGCCATGAACCTGATGTGCAAATATTTTTTCAAGTTCCTGTTTTTGGTGATTTTGGACTTATGCCTAGAAGTGGAATCGCCAAGGTGTTTGGTCTATTATTGTCTTTTCAGGAACATCCATTGCTATTTTGTAAAGTGGCTGCACCATTTTACATTGCTATCCACAGGACAGAGTTTCCAGTTTCTTCACCTTCATGTTGCTGTCTTCTCTTACTTGCTTCCCCCCCACCCCCGACCCCATTAAGCCAGGAACTTCCTCCAGGTCTCCCACGCGGGTGCAGGGTCCCACGGCCTTGGGCCGTCCTCGACTGCTTTCCCAGGCCGTTAGTAGGGAGCTGCATGGGAAGTGGGGCCAGTGGGATTAGAACTGGCACCCATATGGGATCCCGGTATGTTCAAGGTGAGGACTTTAGCTGCTATGCCACCATGCTGGATCCCCCATCATGAGTTTGATGTGCAGTCCTGTATCATTTAACCTGTCATTTCATAGGCTGACCAGTTCTTCAGGTAACTCTGGAGGGATGTCTGTTCTAGTTCTTCACCCACTTTTTAAAATTATTATTTTATGTTGATCTTTACTTAGTTGATTAGGGCACAAAGGGTCAAGGGCTACAGGAAAGTAAGACCATTGTTTCCACATTCTTTTTTTCCTTCCTGTATCTGGGGAAAGAGGGGAGACAAAGGGAGAAGCCCCACCCAGCCTCCCAAACATCCCAGGGTCCCTGACATGGGGCGTGCTCTGAGGGCACTGCTCCAGTGGTTTTGATAGTTCAACGGTTCTGTATTGCTGCCAGTCTCTCCATTCCAAGCACGACGAAATCTCTCCAGAACCCACTGGCTGACATAGTTCATCTTAGAGTCTCTGCCCAGATACTCACTGCCAACACTTGGCTGGGGTAGTTGATCAGTTTGTTCTGTCCTCCGTCCTCTGTTGTGGTACCAGGTGTCCTCTGCAGACTTCATTGTGCTGCCATGTCCTCCATGGGCACCTGGATATGCTGTCCCCTGCTCCGTCTAAGCCACTGAGGAGGCCCGGCTCTGACACATGCTCCACAGTCAGACCATGGGACCTGCATTTGTCTCCATGAATGGGGTTCTGAGTCCAGCGATTCAGTTGGGGGGATCCTTATAGAAACTTCATCTGAGGTGATCTCAGACCTGATTCTTACGTGTGCTTGCCAGTACAGGTCTGGCACATTGCGTCACCCCAATCATCTTATACACTGGTGGTTGCAACTGCTGGGTCAGTTCTGTCTCTCCAGCCTTGTTTGCAAGTACCATGACCCTGTCATTGAGTGTCCCTCAGGATTCCTCACCTGCACATACTGTGGCCTTATCCATGGATGTCCCTAGGCAGTAATTCCAGACTCCCAAGACCCCAGAGCCCACTGTTGGGTGGCCAGCAGGCAAAACCTGGTTCTGTTGTCACTGGCCACACACAAGCAGTGGTGGACGGGGAGCTAGGATACCCAGCAGGAAGCCTGGCCCGGCAGGGATTCTAGCCACAGGGATTACAGCCACATGGCTGGGAGATGCAGACACCCGCACCTCTGAGCAGACTTACCTGGACTAAGTTTTATTAAAAAACAAACAAACAAAAAAAAAAAAACCACCTGAAAAACCCATTGGAATGGTGGAATGGGAAAAGTTACAAATGATACATCTGATAAGGCATTAATATAAAAATATATAAAGAACTACAGTGCAACAACAGCTTGTAAAAATCAGCTTCTAAAAGTGGAGAAGTGTTGGCAGTGAAAATCTGGGCGAGCGGAGACTCGAAGGTGGACTGTGTCAGCCAGTGGCTTCTGGAGCGATGTCACCGTGCTTGGAGTGGTGAGACTGGCAGCAATTCAGAACCGTTGAACTACCGAAACCTCTTGAGCAGGACTCTCGGAGCATGCCCCACACTGGGGACCCTGGGGTGGTGTCAGGTGGCTGTCCTCCATCCCAGGGTGCAGAGATGTTTGGGAGGCTGGGGGTGGCTTCTCTCCTTGTTTGTCCCCTTCCCCCAGATACAGGAAGGAAAAAAAGAGAACGTGCAAATGGCGATCTCACCCACTTTCCTGTAGCCCTTGACCCTCATCACCCTAATCAAATATGTAAACATCACTAAAAATAACTAAAACAAGAAAAACTTAAATTTGATGTAATTTGTAAAATGCAACAGAGGTTTTACTAGGTGGACTGCTAGGCAGCTGTCACAGCTACTGAATTTCAGAACAGGCTTCTGACCGCAGAGGGCCCTGGGGAGCCTGGAGCCATGCCTGCTGCTCGCCCACGGGCTGCTCCGGAGTACTGGTTCCTAGTGGCAATGCTGGGGATGTGTGACACCAGTCTCCCCTTCCTGGGGGCACAGGCTTTGTGCACCTGTTCAGCCCACCAGGTTTAACTGTTATGAAGTTGCTACATTTCTTCCCCATGTACAGGAGGGCTTCAGAAGGCTCTTAGAAAATATATATTGTGGAAAAAAAAAAACTATGCATGAGTTTGTTTTAATTAAAACATTTTAAACTTTGGTTCCACTTTCCACAAGCCTTTTGAAGTGCCCCCTTCATCAGCATACTTACCACTGAGAAATTGGGGTGTGTGGCTTTGGGGTTAACTTGGCCTCTGAGCCTCCAGCAGCTTGGTTCCAGTCACTGGCTGCCACTGTGGTTCTTTGCCTGCCTGCTTTGCCTGGGCAGTGGGTGTGTGGGGCTGGAAGGTGCCTGGTGGGCATCCAGCTGGAGGTGGTGGGAGCTGCCAGGGTACAGAGGATTAGAGGTTGGGGCAGGGAGAGGCCCAGAGGCCCTCCTGGAGACAGACCTGGCACTGGCGTGGCTGGGGTATCCAGGCTTCATGGAAGTGGGGTTGGTCTCTGCTCCACTTGCACTGGCCCTGATGGACACCCTCCTCGGCCTGGCACCCACAGTTCCAAACCAAATGTCTCTTCTTCAGCTTGATGCCAACTGGTGCTCCTGTACCCACAGCAAGAACATGTCTCCTGCTTAGCTTGCTGTGCCCTTCGCAACCCGCTTGCCTGGGGGATCCCTCTGGACCCAGGCTCACACATCACCTTCCCTCAGCCGGTTCTTTGTGCAGGAGATAGTTCTCGTGACCCTGTTGTGTGCCAGGGCCGGGGAGAAGGGAGTGCGGAGACTCGGCCACACGGGTGGAGGAGGCATCACTTAGCGACTCCCCGACTCAGGCTGCAAGCAGGCAGCAGGTGGTGGCACTGCCCTGGTTTGGCCAGGTACCCAGAGGCCTTCTCTGACATGAGGGCCAGGCAGATGCTCCCTGGGCTCGTGGAGGGCTCTGCCAGGGGCATGGGGCCTGCATCCTGGGAGGGGCAGGGCGGCTGCGGAGCTGTGCTGACAGCGCTGGCCAGCTCCAGGTGTGGACAGACAGGAGACACAGCTTCCTCCACATTTCCTTCTGAAGCTGGTTCTGCTGCTGCTGGAAGATGATGCAGCAGCGCGCATGCCCGCAGGGACCCTGCAGTCCCGGAAGGGAGGCCTTGGCTTCCCTGCTTGCCGACCGTGACCTCCCGGCCCGGGGCTGGAGGACGTGGTCAGGACCTGTGGTACTCTCAGTACTCTCGCTTGGTCATCGTGCAGGCTTGGGCAGGGTGCTTCCCCTCAGCTGCCTTCCTGTGTCCGCTCCCATTGCCTTGAGGACGGGGCTTCTGAAGCTGCCAGCCTTACTGGGAAGTGACAAAAGCCTTCCAGACTGGGAAGTGATATCCACCTCACGCCGTGTAAGTCATCTGCTGGTTAAGGTTGTTTAATACAAATCTAGTCAAGGGAAAAGAGGTGAATCCAAATGGTATAAGCTGCTCAGGCACATTAAGATGTCAGCAGTGGGTCCAGCACAATAGCATAGCAGTTAAAAGTCCTTGCCTTGAATGTGCCGGGATCCCACAAGGATGCTGGTTCTAATCCCAGCGGCCCTGCTTGTGGCCTGGGAAAGCAGTCGAGGACAGCCCAAAACTTTGGGACCCTGTACCCACGTGGGAGACCTGGAAGAAGTTCCTGGCTCTGGCTTCAGATTGGCTCAGCTCCTGCTGTTGTGGCCATTTGGGGAGTGAATCATTGGATGGAAGATCTTCCTCTCTGTCTCTCCTCCTCTCTGTAACTCTGCCTTTCCAATAAAAATAAATCTTTAAAAAAATGTCAGCAGTAAGAGGAATCAAAAAGATGAGGAAGCTGGTTTTGATGGAGAGTCTTGAGTGCACAGTGGGTGGGTTGAGGCACCGGGGGTGAAACGTGGGCTCCAGGACCTTCCTGGGTAAGGGCTTCTGCCTGCAGCATTCCTTTTCCCTTCAAACATTTATTAACTTGAAAGTGTTACAGTGAGTGAGCTTTTCCATCCATTGGTTCACTCGCTAGTTAGAGTTCCCAGGGCTGGGGCAGGCTGACCAGGAGCCCAGAGCTTTATCCAGGGCTTCCTGCCGCGTGGGCTTCCTGCCGCGTGGGCTTCCTGCAGGGCCCAGGCACTTGGTTCATCTGCTGCTTTCCCAGGTGCAGCAGCAGGGAGCTGGATAGGAAGTGGAGGAGGCAGGACACGAGGCAGTGTGGATGGGGGATGCATTGCAGGCTGTACCACCCATGGAACATGCCTTTGTCCAGTGTGAAGGGTGGAGATGGTGTCGTCATGCGGGAATGTCCTTGTCCTGAGGAGCTGCCTGATGTCCGCTGGGGGGAAATACTACATCCACCACCCAGGTTTCAATGGCTCGGGGACAGACAGCCCATGCCTCCAGAAGCGAGAGCACAGAGGAGGCACAAACGTTGCCTGCAGATTCCCGGAGACAGGTGCTCAGTGCACTGCTGCCTGGAGCAGCCCCCTCCTCCTCCTGCAGAAACGCCAGGGCTCTGGAGGTCCTAGTCCCACCCCAGGCACCTCTGGGCCCCGTACTTGCCCCCTCCCTTCAACTCCCAGCATGGTGTTGGAGACAGGAACACGAACATGGCCTAGAGCAACCCGGAGCCTCTGACTAGCAGTGCAGTCACCCCTGGCTGGGACTTTGGGAGCAGGGTCACAGCCAAGAAGCTTTGGCATAGGAACAAATGAGAACTCCCACTGAGTCCTGGGTTCAGGCACTGGCCCCCAGGGGGGAAGGGCAGGGCAGCCTGAACCAAGCCAGGCCCTGGTGACTCGGCCTGCGGTCGCTGGCATCTTGGCGAGGTTGGACTAAGGGAGACCAGCTGTCTGGCTGTCCGTCTGGCACCAAGGACACTACTGACACCTGAAACTGGTACCTATGGGTTTCTCTGCCTGGCATGCCCTGTCCCTAGCGCCACCTTCTCCATGCCATGCCACCTCTCACAGCAGGTGAATCCCCAAACCTGACCCCATAGGTTCCTGCCTGGAGTCTGGAGCTGCAGCAGGCCCCTAGAGGCTTCCTCCTCCCACTGTATTTTGTTTTCTGCCTGTGTTCCATTTGCACCCTCACTCGGGCAGCACCAGTCTGGCAGTGGGTGGGTGCTCGTACCTGCTGGGCAGAAGGGGCATGAGCAGTTTGAAGCTTGTGTGGCCCGAGTGTGGGCCGTACAGGCGTGGACTCTGCCCATCCAGGCTCTGACTTACAGCTGTTGGTGAAGTGTTTTGCACAGGAAGGGCCAAGGTCAGCGCTGTGCTGAGTTCCCAGCCGTGGGCCGGAGACTGCAGGGCTGGGATCCTGCCATGCACTCTGAGGAGGGGCTCTGGCTGCGTTTTCTGGGGGCAGCCGTTCTCCGCTTGCTCACCCACCCCCCCAAGAAGACCAGGAGTCCGGGGTCCACGTTACCTCATTTATTCTCACAACATGCCTGTGAGGTAGGGAGGGGCAGGGTCTGTCCCCATGTTACAGAGGAGGAAGTTGAGGCACACAGAGGTCAAAGTGACTTGCCCAAGGTCATGGACGGTGGCCAAGCTGGAGAGGGGCCCCAGAATGGAGCCTGGGCTCATCAGGGGGAGCCCCCCCATGCCGCAGTTGCACGCCTGGTGCTGAGCTGCCCTTCGTGTGCTGCACTCGCTGCTGGGCCTGGCTCTGGCCTTGCCTGCCCCACCCTGCCCTCAGACCCAGGCCTTGGCAGCTCGGGGCTTGTGACACTTCAGGTCTGGGAACGGAGGGCAGGCGAGAGGAGGATCAGGGTGGAAAAGCAGAACAGAACAGAAAGGTCAGAGGCTGGGGCAGGGTGGGAGACCAAAAGAAAGGGGCTGCTTACACACAAGGTATATATTTTTACACACACTTGTACACATACCTAGATATAGTACATGTAAAAATATATGCTATTCACACCCCCGCCTCCTGCCAGGTGCCCGAGAGCCGGCGGTGGTGGCGCTGGTGGGCATGGGTGGGCAGATGGGCGTTAATATACACTCTAGGGTCTATGTGCATATGTACAGGTAGGTACAGACACGGCACGGCCCAGACCAGGCGACCCCTGGAAAACGGGGTCCACCACGCTGAGTCCTCAATTTGCTGAAGGAGCAGGATCGGAGAGAAGGAAGAGGCGAGAGCCTGGCATGTGGTGACGGGGGCCGCCTCTGGGTCCCCCAGGGCCACAGCCCTCCTGGTCCACTTGGACGGAAGTCCCACTCTGCTGGACGCTGCAGAGGGCTGGTGCGTGGCACCTGGAGGAGCAGCTGCATCTGCGTGCGTGTGTGAGTGCTTAGGGGCAGGGCAGGGTGCGTGTCCATCTCTGACCTCTGGGCCCTCAACCACCAAACGGGCTGAGAACCACCAGGCCGCTAGCCACAAGGTGACTCCTGTGTGAGCTTTGAAGAAGGGAAAAGAAAAATGGAAGAGAAAACTCCAAGGTCAGGGTAGGGGCATCCAGGAAGGGGAAGGACGTGGCAGGTGCCCAAGCCACCCTCGGGCCATGGTCTTCTTGTAAACAAGCGAGTCGCAGCTCTTGTTGGAGACAGCAAGTCAAAGGGCCGAGGCCGGGGCACTGCCAACGTCCATCCAACTCCTCCGCCACGGCCAGCAAGAGGGAAAAAGGAGTTTTTAGTTTTGTGATCGCTGTTGGCATTTCTTTGAAGTCTTGAGAACCTAAAGCTGGGAGGGACCCGAAAAAGCCAAATTGTGAGCCCTTGGATGTGTCAGTTTTGGCCTAGGGTCTCTGGCGAGGAAACCACACTGAAGGCTGAGGAGGCTTTGTTCCACTCGCGTTCGCATGAGTTTAATGGTCTGCACTGGTCTCCCTCCCGGCCTCAGAGACGGGTCTGGGCCTCGGGGACGTAGATCTCGATGCTGTCTGCGCTCTCTGTGGCCGAGTTCTGCCGCACGGACGCTGCCCGCTTGGCTGCCAGCAGTCTCTTGCGGGCCTCCTGACGCTGCTTGTCGCTCGCGTCGGAGCCCTTGTCGCGGCTCACGGCCGGCCGGGATTTGGCAGGCTTCTTTGGGACGGGAGGGGGTGGTTTCTTCTCTTCCTTTAGTGAGACAGTGAGGAGGGAACCCCAATCAAATAAAGGCGCCCCTGCTTGCTGTGGCACTACCCCCTTCATGCAGCCTCTCTCCACCCAAGCCTGCCCCCCACTCCCCGGGCACAAGCAACACATGTAGAGTCAAGAAGCCACAGGAAGCAATGATGGTGGGAAAAGCACAGGGCACAGGAGCGAGTGCAAGCTGAGGCTGGGCGAGCTGGACACATCCCCCCACCCCGCCAGAGCCAGGGGTGGGACCCCGCTCAGTTCGCGTGCTCCCCCAGAAGGAAACCTGAATCTCAGGGATGAGGCTGGCCCCCAGCAGGAGGGACCCCTCCCCCTCCTTCCATGCTCCCCCAGGTGGCAGGCCCCTGCCAGGAAGCCCTCTTCCTGAACATGCAGGGCGGGACAGCATGCGTCCGGGGGCAGCCTCAGCTCCGCAGAACAAGCGGCATGCTGGAGAAGCGCCACGCATGGACCCCGCACGGTGATGGACGTGAGCCCCGCTCAAGACGACACACGGAGAAGGAGCCAAGCAGCACTGACCGATGTGGGCAGCGTTATTGCCGACCAGGAATTTGTCCCTGGACTTCCCCTCCGCACTGCTCCATGCTCACCTTCCTCTTCTCGGGGGTCTCCACCAGCTGCCAGCTGTTGGCCTTGAGGTGGTAGAGCTCATCGAACTTCATGCTGATGTCCTCGATGGACAGCTGCAGCAGGTCCCAGAACCCGGCCAGGTCCTGGGCTGTCGGCCGTGGGTTGGCGTCCGGGTTCTGTGAACACAGGGCAATCAGCGGGGCCGGAGGCAGAGGCTGGGCCTGCACGTCCCCATGGGGGCTGGCCGTGAGCACGCGTCCCTGCACACCGGGAGGACGGGGATGGCCTCTGCCATGGCCTCATGGGGAGGAGTCCCGGGGTTCCCTTCGCTTCCACAACAGCAGCCCTGGAGACCAAACTGCCCCGACCCACTAACGGGAGAGGAGACCCCCACGTGCCTTCCTTCCGTTGTCACCTGTACGTATGTTCCTGTGACCACTTTGGTGGTGTCACTGTGGACATGTGTCCCACCTCGGCAGGCAGGTGAGGTGACCCCACCTTCTGTCGGGGTTCACAGAGGCCTGGTGCCCACGGTGAGGGGAGGGTTGCACTCACCAAGTTCTGCTCACAGAGGCCCCGGAACTGCTGGAACTTCTGCGACATCAGCAACTGGGCGCTGCCCACCGCGCTGAGGACTTTCCCTAAGACTGAAGGAAAGGCGGGGACTCAGCCGGGCGAGCGAGTGAGCGAGCGTCCCGTCCCCCGGCCTGCCTCAGGACAGCCTGTGCAGTTTCTGGATAGCAGCGAGTCACTTTCCTGTACACTGAGTCCATTCTCACCGGGACAGACTGGGAGCCCAGCCCAAGCTCCTGAGGACAGTTTCTAGCACTAAACTTAGATCCAGATTTGTAAAGAAGATGGAAGTTAAAGATCATCCCAGTAGCATAGAGGCTACAGTCCTCACCTTGAATGTGCTGGGATCCCATATGGACGCCGGTTCTAATCCCGGCTGCTCCACTTCCCATCCAGCTCCCTGCCTGGGAAAGCAGCTGAGGACGCCCCAAAGCCTTGGGACCCTGCACCCTCATGGGAGACCCGGAAGCGCCTGGCTTTGGGCAGCTCATCTGCAGCCATTGAGACCACCTGGGGAGTGAGTCAGCAGATCTTTTTTCTATCTCTCCTCCCTGTGTGGCTCATGTTCCAATAAAAATCTTTTCACAAAGTAACAGTGATAACCACAAGTCTTTACAGAAAAATTACTGAAGCAACCAGACTTTGGGAAGCTAAGATCACAACGAGGAAATGGCCGTTGGGCGAGGCTGCTCTGTGCTGTCTGGAGCACCCCGCGGTGTATCCGCAGCACAAGCCTGAGCGGCTGAGTGTAACTTAGGGGAACTTCACAGGGAGGAAAACTGAATTCAGAGGAACCTGAGGGGCAGCACTCAGTGAGACAAAGTACATTCAGCTGGGCCAAGCCCCCAGCAGCCGCGGTGATGGCAGGAGGAGCCGGGCTGTGCAAGGGGTTGTGGGCGTGCTGCACTGCGCACTGCAGGAGGCGGCAGCACCAGGAACGGGCTGGCGCCATGACCCAAGTCAGAATGAGCCCGATTCCATCTGGACTAAGTTGACCTGGTCTTATTCTAATTTTCTCTTAGTATAATTTTCTGAACCTTTGTCTCAAATTGTCTCTAGCGTTTTCATGTGGTCTCTAACATTGAAACAAATTAACCAGGCACATCAGGAGATTTTGCCAAATGCACATGGAAGAAAGAAAACCGGAGTGCACTACAGGGAAGCAAGGGACTAGACACCCAGCCAGAGGGCAGACACCTGAAAGCTACAGTAACTGAAATTAAGTGGCTTTAGATTAGAAACCACCCCCCAGACTCTACGGAATGTACTATAAAATTCAAAATCAAAAAAGCTCCCAGACTGAAGCCTAAAAGAAAATATAAAAGAGGGCCCAGTGCGGTAGCCTAGTAGCTAAGGTCCTTGCCTTGAAGGCACCGGGATCCCATATGGGCACTGGTTCTAACTCTGGCAGCCCCGCTTCCCATCCAGCTCCCTGCCTGTGGCCTGGGAAAGCAGTCAAGGACGGTCCAAAGCCTTGGGAACCTGCACCCGCCTGAGAGACTCGGAAGAAGCTCCTGGCTTTGGGTCGTTTCAGCTTTGGCCATTGCGCTCACTTGGGGAGTGAACCATTGGACAGAAGACCTTCCTCTCTCTCCCTCTCTCTGTATATCTGACTTTACAATAAAAATAAATCTTAAAAAAAAAAAAAGAAAGGAAGCAGCAAGTAAAAGACATGGCACTTGAGTAGCGAGAGTCCACAGGTGAGAAGCAGCTGGAGCAGATGTGAGCAACAATGGCCGAGTCCCCGCGAGTCCTGTGATTGCCGGAGAGGACGGAAAATCACACCCGGCCAGGCATTCGAGTAAAACTTCTTATAAAAACCAAACACGATGATTACGAGACCGTCTAATGATGTAACTACTCTGAGTCTTTGTTCTAACTGGAATGATTTTAACTTCTTAAAAATTACAGATAATATATCTGCAACCCTCATCCCACCATTTTTCTTTCATGATTATTCTAACATCACATTTGAACACACGTTATAACAAAATCTTAGACATACTGAGACTGATATAACGAGGCTGTTGGCTGAGCAATTCTGAGCGTGTGTGCATGTGTGCATTTGCATGTAGAGGAAGATAATCACAGTGTGAGAAAACCTTGGCAGCAGAGGGAAAAAACGACCAAGCTGCGTTCAGAAGGGCAGTGGGAAGACTGATGGCGCAGTCAGGGAGCAGCAAGCACCGGCCTAGAATTTGTCTTACAAAAATAACACTTTATGAATTATGATTGAAATAAGAAATTGCAACCGCAGTTTCACATCTATAGACTGGTGTTAGATACGAAACACCGAACACTTTTGCATAGTGCTAAACGGAAGGAAATGAGTCTTCAGAAAAGTCACAGAACATTCCTGTTCGAAAAAAAAAGTGTAGGTTTCAAAATATTTCTGTACCAAAATAAACTTTTAATTCCATTTCCCCACAAACGTCTGGAACATTCTTGTATAATTTGGTGTAGCCTCTGTGGAGAACACACTGGCTTTTCCCACAAATCTAAGACGTGCCTCATGCCCAGAGCTCAGAAACTTCCTTTATGAGGACGCAAGGAGGTGTGCCAAACCCAGCAGTGCCCGGCTGGCATTCTACCCACTGGCCTCGGATTGAATTAATTCTCCCCTAAGATCAAGAAAACGATGACACACACGAGGACGCGCGCCCTTACCCCTTCCGTTCAACGTGACTGAGAGCCAAGGCTCCTACGCAAAAACTAAATAGAGGAATGCAGAGTGGGAAGAAACAGGAGTCTGTCCCCTCAGGTGATGTGACTCACACATGAAAACAAGTCCAGCAAAGGGTGCAGGATACAAGATCAGTATACAGAAGTCAACTACATTTCTACAGCAATGAACAGCTGGAAAAAGAAATTAATAATTCCATTCTAATAGCAAAGGGAATAAAATATGAATCAATTTAACACAAGTTTTACACCAACAGTTGTAAAATATCATAGAAAACTTTAAGATGCTGAACAAACACGCTCACGCACTGGAACATTCACTAGCATTAAGTGGCACTGCTGCCCACGCTGACAGTTTTACATAAACCATATCAAAATCAAATCCCAGAAGCCTCTGCAGAAATTGAAAGCTTATCTTTTAAAAATTAATAATCTAAAAGGCAAAGAGACAGGAACACAGATCTTGCACAAATGCCCACAATGATCAGGGTGGAGCCAGAAACTCAATCCAGGTGCCCTGCCCCCTGGTGGCGGTTACCTGAGCCATTTCCTGCAGCCTCCAAGAGTGTGCATGAGCAAAAGTGCTGAAATGAAAAATGGAGCTGGGACTTGAATCCTAACACTCCAATGTGGGTGTGGCCATCCCAAGCAGTGGCTTATCCGTTGTGCCAACACCCTCTCCTGACAGACAAATCTTAAAACTCATGGGCCCAGTGCAGTAGCCTAGCAGCTACTTGTGCAAAGTCCTTGCTTTGCACATGCCAGGATCCCATATGGGTGCTGGTTCTAATCCCTGAAGCCCTGCTTCCCATCCAGCTCCCTGCTGTGGCCTGGGAAAGCAGTCAAGGATGGCCCAAAGCCTTGGGTCCCTGCACCCATGTGGGAGACCTGGAAGAAGCTCCTGGCCCCTGGCTTTGGATCGGTGTAGCTCCAGCTGTTGCAGCCATTTGGGGAGTGAATCAACGGACTGAAGATCTTCCTGTTCTTCTCCTGGGGAGGGATCCAGCTGACGGCAGCTCTTTCTGTCTCTCCTTCTCTGTAACTTCACAGTTTATGTTTTGTTTTGTTTTTTAAAGGCAGATTTAAGCAATGAGAAACAGAGAGAGCAAGCCCATCCACTGGATATTTCAGGCTGAGCTGATCCAAAGCCAGGAGCTTCTTCCAGGTCTCCCACGCAGGTGCAGGGTCCCAAGGCCCTGTGCCGTCCTCTGCTGCTTTCCCAGGCTACAGGCAGGGAGCTGGATGGGAAAAAGCAGCTGGAACTTGAACTGGCACAGGATATGGGATATAAGCATTGTAAGCAGTAGCAGATTAACAACCCCAGCTTCTTCCATTTTTAAAATTCATATTAAATGGCAACTTATTTAGTGGAAGTAAAACCACAACCATTTCTTACATATGGTGTGGTTTTTCTAGGACAAAATATCCCGTAACTGAGAGGCACAGCATGCAGACACCGCAACATCAGGGCCAGTTACACTGGGACGCGGTGCCAGCGCGAGGACCGTGTCAGGTGCGCACTCCACGAGGCGCGCCTAGGCTCCTGAAAACAAGTCATCAACCGATGCCCTCGATCTTCCTAGACTCCTGTGCCCCCTGTGCGGCACAGACGGCTGAATGCCCCGAGTGAGACGTGGGGCCTGCCTGCTGCCTGTCACCCGGGCCCCACAGCCGCGCTGAGTGAGGAGACCTTGTGCGTGGAAACCAGTCGCACCACCACTAGTCAGCCATTCCTCAAGTTGGGCAAAATCAACAATCTTTTCAAACCACTCTCCCACACATGCTGTTCTCTCTCTTTTAATGTTATCTGTGGGCAAACCTAGTCCCAATGACTACAGCCTCAAATGCTTGTAAAAGGTCAAAGTGGTACAGGAGCGGTACAGGAATGTATCAATCCAAAAGGCAGAAGAAGAGACCTCAGAAGATAGAACAAGGCAGGCACTGTGGGTGGGAGACCCAGTGTGGATGCCCAGCCTCCTGCGGACGTGCCTTGCAAAGCAGCAGACGGCCCAGGTACCTGAGACCTTGCTGCCATGCGGAGACCCAGACGGGACTCTGGGCTCCGGCTCAGCCTGGCTTGGCCCCAGGTGTTGCCGGCATTTGGGAAATGAACCAAAAGATAAAAGATCTTCATCCCTCTTTGCTCTTCAGACAAGTAAGTTACAAAAAAGAGAAGTAGAATGTATAGCACAGAATAAGAATCATTTTGAGGCCAGTGTTGTGGCACAGTGGTGGAACCATGTCTCGTGCACTGGCATCCCAGCTGAGTGTTCCAGTGGCTCTATGTCCAGTCCAACTCCTTGCACATGTACCTGGGGAAGCAGCAGCAGATGGGCTCAAGTACCTTGGAGACCCGGATAATGCTCCCGACTCCTGGATTCAGCCTGGTCCA